GGCCTGTGAGCCATGGCCACTGAGCCTGCGCATCCAGAGCCTGTACTCCGCAAAGGTAGAGGCCCCAACAGTGAGAGGCCCGCGTACCGCAAAAAAAAAAAAAAAAAAAAAAAAAAAATGCTGAGCTCCAGTTCCTAAACCACGTTTGAGAGTCCATATGGATTTACAATCCATTCTTAGAGGTTCGTGCTTATGTATTAACTGCTTATATTAACCAATGTTTGACCCTCAGCCCTGAGAATGCTCATGTTCCTAGTGGTAGATAATCTTTCAAAATATGAGAACTACCCCTGAGTCTCCCACAGCATCCTCAGAACCATAAGCTACCATTCCTGAGGCTTTACTCTAAAACATATCTTAAAACCTTGACCCTCTGTAAATTCTGTTTTAGAAGTTTCACAAGTTTTTCAGAGTCCAGAGGCAGATGGGAAGCCTCAGAACCTAGATATAGATCCAAACCTGTGATGAAAATATCTGCTCCAGTTATATTGAGCCTAGTGCCTTGGATTCCATAGACTTAGCCAGATGTGATGATTGGAGGCTACTTCTGGGAATAACATAATCCTTAGACACACTCTCTCAGAGTTTGATGTCTCTGAATGGAATAAAAGGGTGGAGGAAAGCTGCCTGACTCCCATGTTTTAGTAACACTGGGGTAGAGAACCTTTACTACATGTTCTAAGAAGTATTGACCACTATCTAATATGTGATAGGAATCTGTGGGGGAGAAGCTCAATACAGCATTCAGAAACCTACGAAGGGAGACAGGTCGGGCACTGTAGTACCAACGACTTTATCACAGAGGTTGAAATCAAGAGAATCAGGTTGACCATGGCCAATGGTACCAGCTGTGCCGAATACTGCAAAGCCACAAACCAGGAGCCATTTCTGGCTGTGGAGAATCATCTCAAGACAGTGAGCATTGCTGACAGGTGAGAAGCCATAGTTGTTTCTTCTCTGGGCCTAAATCTGTGCTTCCATTCTGCGAGCTGGCTTTCACTCCAACTTTCTGAATCACTGTCTTGATAGCATGCCTAACTTGCTCCCCAGCTACAGGGGTAAGAGGCAGCAAACTTGAATGCTTATAAGGTCCAGCCAAGGAGCGTGAATAAGAGATGTGGCTTGTTTGGGAGCTGTGCACACTGAAGACGGAGTGCCCTGTTAGTAGGGGACAGCAATTGCTTAGCCCCAGCTACTATTTTCATGTAGGAATGGGGACCAGATTTTCTTCTTATCCAGGAGAAGCTGAACATCTGGATTTTTAAAATCTGAAATCTCCCACTTTTTAAAATTTAACAACAAAGAAAAAACATTTTTATAAAAATATACACCCCCAGATGATTAAAATGGTAAATTTTATGTTATGTATATTTAGTCACAATTTTTAAAAAAAGAAACAAAAAGCATGTGGGCCAAATAAAAACCACCTATAGTCTAGATTCAGCTGCAGCCTCCCCATTTTCAACCTCTGCCCTAGTAATAGGGCATGGTATTGACCTTCCTTCCATCCCAACCCTTATCTCTCCCCGCCTCTAAAAATGGCTTTATCCCTGGACTCCAGCCTAAGGCCCCAGGACCTGGAATCTGCCACAATATTACCCTGTGGGTATGTTTTGGAAGATCTGAAAGCGGCTGACCGTGGATTCTGCCAAACTGTCAAGATACCCTCTTTTCTTTGTTGGAGCATCAAAATCAGTTGTCCATCCAGACTGCTGTACCAATGTGCCACCTTCCCCCAAGGCTCCTGGGGTTGCCTATGGCTAAGTCTGCTCCCACCTAGTCCTGCCAGGTCCTGTACCCTTCCTATCTCCCCTGTCATACTGCAGGGAATCAGACAGCACTGAGTCTGTCCTGAGATGAAATAATAATTACAACTTGTGTTTCCCAGCTTTGTGCTATGTTCTGGCACCCTGCTAAGTGTTTCATAAGAAATAACTCACTTTATGATTCCAATAGCCCTGTAAATAAGTAAAATTTCATAAGAAACCCAAGGTCAGAGGGCTACACAATTCATTCAGATTTGCACAGGTATTAAATGGAAGATCTGAGATTCAAACTTAAGACTGAAACCCATCCCTTCTTCACTGCCCTATATGGAAGATGCAGGCAAAGAAGAGTGAGGGGGTATTTCTACACCTCCACGCAGGTGGAAAGGGAGGATATATTTCTTGGCATTTTAATGCAGTTTCACACCACACTTTGACAATTCACAATATTATCACTTTCTAATTTTACAACTTTCTATATACAGTTACCTGTGGTTCCCAGGTTTGGGAATTTCATGGTCAGCAATATTTCAAAACATATTGGGTAGGCCAAAAAGTTCATTCGGTTTTTTCCGTAAGATGGCTCTAGCAGCACTTAGCTGTCTTTAACTTCATTTGAGACAATTTTGTTAGACTGTATGTAACAGCTGTCATATCAGCATGCATTACAAAAAACAACTTATCAAAATTGGTGAGTTTTTGTGTAGCCATTTTAATACTGAAGATGGAAGAAAAAAAGCAACATTTTCAGCATATCAGGCTTTATTATTTCAAGAAAGGTAAAAATGCAAGCAAAACACACAAAAAGATTTGTGCAGTGTATGGAGAAGGTGCTGTGACTGATCGAATGTGTCAAAAGTGGTTTGCAAAGTTTCGTGCTGGAGATTTCTCGCTGGACAATGCTCCATGGTCAGATAAATCAGTTGAAGTTGATAGCGATCAAATAGAAACAATAATTGAGAACAATCAACTTTATACCATGCAGGAGATAGCCGACATACTCAAAATATCCAAATCAAGCGCTGAAAATCATTTGCACCAGCTTGGTTATGTTAATCACTTTGACGTTTGGGTTCCAAGTAAGTTAAGCGAAAAAAACCTTCTTGACCATATTTCCACATGCGATTCTCTACCGAAACATAATGAAAACGTTCCATTTTTAAAACAAATTGTGACAGGAGATGAAGAGTGGATACTGTACAACGATGTGGAATGGAAGAGATTGTGGGGCAAGCGAAATGAACCACCACCAACCACACCAAAGGCCGGTCTTTATCCAAAGAAGGTGACGTTGTGTATATGGTGGGATTGGAAGGGAGTCCTCTATTATGAGCTCCTTCCGGAAAACCAAACAATTAATTCCAACAAGTACTGCTCCCAATTAGACCAACTAAAAGCGGCACTCCACGAAAAGTATCCAGAATTAGTCAAGAGAAAACGCATAATCTTCCATAAGGATAATGCAAGGCCACATGTTTCTCTGATGACCAGGCGAAAACTGTTACAGCTTGGCTGGGAAGCTCTGATTCATCTGCCACATTCACCAGACATTGCACCTTCGGATTTCCATTTATTTTGGTCTTTACAAAATTCTCTTAATGGAAAAAAGTTCAGTTCCCTGGAAGACTGTAAAAGGTACCTGGAACAGTTCTTTGCTCAAAAAGATAGGTTTTGGGAAGATGGAATTATGAAGTTGTCTGAAAAATGGCAGAAGGTAGTGGAACAAAAGGGTGAATACGTTGTTCAATAAAGTTCTTGGTGAAAATGAAAAATGTGTCTTTTATTTTTACTTAAAATTCCAAGGACAATTTTTGGCCCACCCAATATTTTGGGAAACAATATAAGGTTACCAAACTTCTATTTTGCCAAGTAAGGATATTTCCTAAACCTATCATTTAGCATCATTATCACTTCATTAAATGAAAACTACTTTGACACACACACACACACACACACACACGTGCATATGCACATACATTAATAGCTTCATGGAACCAGAAACGCTACTTGTCTTTGCCTTCATTTATGGCTGGTGTACAAGCACATGCATAAGTAGCTCCCAGCCTACAGTTGTGTGGTGTTCCAAAAGCTTTCTGGGAAGACCACTGTTTGGAACTTGGAAAACCTTATTCCACAAAACAAAGCAATAACATTAGAAATGATGCCTAGGTTCCCACCTCATAGGGTAAACCTGGAATATCTTGTTTTATTTTGGATATGAGGTAACTGAGGCCCCAGAAGTTTAAGCCATTTCCTTAAATAACACACAAGCTCTTGCAGAGCCAGGATTAGTAGTGAATTATCCTGATAGCTGCTTCAGTTCTTTTTTCATCACCAGAGACAAAAACACTTTAACATTATTATAGATACACTCTAATGTTTAACGTTATTAGTTAAATAGGCTTGTGGAGGGATAGCTTTGGAAATTCACCACTGTTTATAAAAATTGTTCTGTGTAAAAAATGCAATCTGTATCACATCTGTGAGATGCAAACATGGCTGTCATCACAGACATGGTCCCTTTTATTCATGCCCCACTTCCCCAAACCACCATGCAAAGAAATATAGTGTGATCCTCAGAAGCGAATCTGCTTCCAATCCCAAAAGGGAAAGGGATAAACATTTGACCTTTCTTATCAGGAGTTTATAAATCTATGTGCCTCTGAGTGTGTCAAGACTCAACAAAAGAGTGAAATTGGGTCGCTTACATGTTACCAGGGAATAGCTATTAGCGTAATCCTTAATTGGAATCCCGTTTACTCTTCTGTTGGCTTAGCGTCCTCCCTGTGCTTTAATAAGAGCTGTCACATGAATATATCATTTGAGGCTGGAACCCTGCAGAGAAACTAGAGTGTGCAATCCAACAAACTTGTAAAATTCAAATATATTATCTCTTTCAGAGAGATAGTAATGAATGTATTAAACTAAGGAAATTCTCAGTTCAAGGAACAAATGATTAAAAGTGATCTGAGATTGTAAGACTCCAAATAATGAATTTAATCATGATTGTTTTCTTTTATAATCATTAGCCCAGCCTCTCTAGTGATATATGATATGTTAACTATATGATAGGTAACATATATGTTATATATGACCATGAAAATTCTGTATAATGAGTATTACATATATGATGTACCACATATAGTATTATCTATAATATATAGGTAATACTCAGAGAATTTGGGAGATCAATAGTAGGGAGAATGTTTCTAATTTTGAAAAGTGGCATCATACTTGAGAACTTCAATCTTCTTTTCCATTTTCCAAGGCTTGCATTTGACAGTAGCAATCATTTGTCTATTCTCATCTAACTCTGCCTTCAATCTTTCCAATTCCTCTTCATCGATTTCTTCTTCTTCTTCCCTTAAAACAAAAAACAAACAAACAAAAACCTCCTTTAGTAAAGTTAAGTTTTGCCTGACTTCCAAACTTAAAGAATGCTATCAGATACTCAGATGATCAATGTATAGCAACTTGACTATATGTGGTGTGTGCTGAGATCCACAAGCCTTAGTGCTTGTATCTGAACACTGATGCAGGATTTCTGGAAATATTATAACTTTAAACAATAGTGTTTACATTCTGTAGTACTGAAACCATTTTATGTCCATAGTCTCAAATTCTCAGAACTAGAAAAATGTGTGGAAACAGTTACAGATCTATCAATATGTTTTCTTCTCTTCTTTGTTCCCCTGTACACCTTCCCCCACCGATTCTACATTTAATTGAAAAACTTTATTTTTCAACAAGGATAGTAAATTCGAGGTGAGCATGTCTTCGAAGTGCCCTTAAAAATTTTGTTAGCCCTGTCTCGAGAGAAAGAGAAAAACTGAAATAGGAAAAAATTTAAAAATCTATTCCTCAAAGGTAACTTAATCTGTTAATTAAACTCAAAACTTCAATTGATCAAATTCAGCTTGAAGTATATTTGACAGAAGTGAATCCTTTGAAGAGGCCTTCAAAGGAATTTAGTTTCTTACTGAGCAAATGAGATGTATCTTTTCTCTTCTGTGTTCCTAGCATTGCAAAAATATCAAAAGGTCCAAAAGTCAAAGAAAACAAAATCTAAACATGAACAACATGATTTTTAAATTGAGGAATGTAATGTCCTATCGCAGAGATCCTTTTTTTTGTTTTTTTTTGGCAATACATTGTTTCAGTTATGAGCTGCCGTTGTTTAACTTCAAATTTACCCTCCTCTACTTAATATTGTGATGCTGTGGCTGTGACTCCGAAGGGTACATTTCTGGTTTGTCAGTTGGCTCATTTTTCGGCTGCCCATAGAAGACACTAAGAAGGGACTTGGTCTTTCCTTTGGTTTCCTGTTTGCTTCCTGTGGTGATGTTTACTCTTTAGTGATGCTTCTTCACCCCAAGAGCTGCAGGGCCTTCCCATAGCTGCAGGTGAAACTAGTTTGCCGACTTTCCCGACACTAGCAGAACCAGCTTCATCATTCTCCCCGTAGACACCAGCACCACTTGAGCATTGCCTCCCTCTGCAATAGTTTCAGCTCCGTGGGTGTCTCCTCTATGCTTTTAAGTTTTAATTCCAACCTCTTTCCGTTGTTCCTCCAGCCCCTAGTATGCTATTTGCTTCCTATAGTTGCTGTCACCATGATACTTCGTGTTCTCTTTCACCTTTCCAGTAACCTAGTTAGCAATTATTTATATCTACTAAACAGTCCTCTTATTAAATACTCTCTCTTCAATTAACTGTTGGAGTTTCTTTCTTCTAACTAGACCCTGACTGACAAAAAAAAATGTAATCTGACTCAGTGTTAGTCAGAAACATATTTTGTCGTTCACTAAACTCATGACCACACACAGTAGGGCTATGGCAAAAGGTGTTTTTGAAAGTTTCGGCTGAATAATAGGAGGACATACCCCAAATTTTACAGCCCACCTTATAAAAATGACTTCGCAATCTCCTTTCTCTCCTACCAATCCAGAGTTTTTAATCAGGTCGTGATTACTGAAACAAAAATTTAAATTAACCCTCTAAAATACACTTGTCATTGATACTTTGGTATTTTTTGACCGATGCAGACATTTTGCTTAGACTAGTAATCCTGGTTCGAGAGAACTATGGAAATACCCTTCACTAAGATACAACTCTGATTGCCATTAGGTTGTTTCTATTTTAATTATTTGATATTTATTATATAAAATCCTATGGTGCTGTACAACCATAATAAAATACTCACAAAGAATGAAAGAATGATCTATTTGATGTTTGGATTTACCATGTAACTAAAGCTTATTTCTCTACATTCCTAACATTAATTACGTAGTTTCCTGCTATCTTAAACCCAGTACTTTGTATGTTTTACATATTCAAATTCTGTGATTCCTTCAAAAATGATATGAAATGTCTTCAATACCCTTTTCTGATTATCCCTATGAGAATACTTTTCTCTAAGACTCTAAATCACTTTGTACTTCTCTGGCACATTTATACTGTCTTATTTCATAATAATTTGTGTCTAAGTGGCCTCTCCCTTACTATATTATGAATTTCTAGAGAATGCAGGCAATTGCATATTCATATCCGTATCTTCCAAAGAAATCAGCAAGTTATCTTCCACAGAAGTGGAGCTGGATAAATATTTTTTGAATAAATGTTTATGTACAGAGTTTTTCTGTATATTGGATTACCATCAAATATACTAAAATATAACGATGTCTTCCAAGATCAGAATGTTATGGAAAGACATTTATTTCTACGCTAAATGATCTTAGACTGGTATATTTTTAAAGTCTTTGTTGTTAATTGTTGATTGCTCCAGGAAGATCATGCTGTGCTACAAGGTATAGCTGTTGCCAGCTGAGTTACCTTCAAATATGCAGGTAATTAAAATACTACATTTTTGCATAATTAAAATATGATAATGCATAACTAAAACACTGTATTACAGGGAAACTGCTTTTCTAGGAACCACTCAAAGAAAGTGCTAATCATATTAAAAGGGCATAGCACTGACATGCTTTATCTTCTAAAATTTAGGGCTAATCTGTGTAAGAATAGCTTTCTACCTTAGGTTTGATTTATTTAAAAAAACAGTTGTTAGGAAAAAGGAGGTATAATGTGCTGAATTTCTCAGTGCTATGAACATATTACTTATTCACTTAAAACTGGGTCAAGAAAAGCCTGTAATATTATTAGAAATACTCCAAAATGCCAAATGAGGCAGTGTCTTTTAACCATCTCCAAAGACAGTTAACATTACAACCTTGGATTTAGCTGGTTTCAAGTTTGGCTCTGTGGAGAAGTGGGGAGGGAGGGAGCCAGGGGTGATTCTGGCTTCTCAGAATCAGGATGAGAGTAGGATCAGCTAAGGACAGACACTTTCACAGGGACAAGATTGCCCCAAGTAACAGGGGCCAAGACCCAGTTGATTCATATGGTCCTATTTCTAGAGGTTGAGCACTGATGTGAGGGCCTTGAACAGACCAGGAGACAAGAGGAATTCCCACCCAAGTCATCTTTTAAAAAGGACATCTCTGAGGCACAAGTGGAGAGGAAAAGCAAATTGTGCAACACAACCTCCTGTATCATGCATATGTCTATTGGTGATGTCTTCTCAATGAAATACCACTGTCAGAAGGCATAAGCTTTGCTAGCAGGAAATATTACTACATAATAATAGCAGTAACAATCACAATATGACATGGAACTTAAAAGGGTGTTCTGTTTTTGAAAAGAACAAAGCATAAAAATACTTGAAAAGACGACAGACATAAAAAGTGCCAGAGTCAAAAGGTAAAGCAGGTGATGTCTTAGTATTCAAAGAGAAGAAAGAGGAGGAACTTGGGGAGGAGAAGGAGGAAAAGGAAGAAGAGAAAGAAGAGGAAGAGAGAGATTTAAAAACTTAAATCAACAAAAATATAGTGAAGAAATGGGTAGGGCTACTCTTATTTTAAAAGGAACCATCGTCTATTAATGCTAAGCTTCTCTACCTGACAAAATGTTCGCATAGTTGTATTTAATTACAATTACTTATGAAGAGGAAAATAATAGCTTGTTATTGAATACTGCAATGTGTCATCTTGGGAGGCTATCTTGGAAAGTTCCTCACCATTTAAAGTCCTAGGACTGTTTCAGAGGAGATCCCATCACCTCATGGTGATTCCCATGCCCCACCTGGGGTGGCAGAGGAGCTATTCTCTTAAATCCTTTCCAAGGGGTCTAGGTTTTCTATTAGTAAATGTGTTCTACATGCACACTTTTCCTACCTGCCTGCCATCTGCAATTTTCCAGAAAGCTAAGACTAGAAAATTATTTTCTTGGATTTTTCCTAAACAGCATTTAATATATTATTCTACACAAAGACAGCACTCAGAAAAACGTTGGCCTGGTAGAACTGAAAGACAAAGGGTTATATTAAAAAGGAAATGACAATCCCAATCCTCTGTAAAGGGACAGATAGCTAATATTTTAGACTTTGGGAGCTATATACAGCTCTGTCTCATATTCGTCTTTGTTTTTTTTTTAAATTACAGTTTTATTAAAACTGTAAGAACCATTCTTAGCCCTTGGGTTGGAATTAACCATGGTTGGCCAACCCCTGCTCTGTAAGATAAGTGATTTGGGTTCATTGTTTAGGAGTTTTTCACTTAACTTCAGTAACGATGCACTTAACTAATGGGATAACTTTAAAATATTTAAATTAACTACATATGTCAATGACCTATGACAATTTAGATCTCTCATAAGGGAATTTCTCATAAGTCCATTCTTAATATATATTCATTTTACAATTCTATTTTAATGTCAAAATACATTTAACTAAGTGGAGTAAAATGGCAGATGAAGCCTGTTTTTCTGAAAGTAGGTTTAATTACCAATTTTAAGGCCAGGGAGTGCCTAAAGGGAGTGGTCTTCTTTCAGCATCAGGCACTTCTGAATGAGAAGCAATTTCAGGTAAGAACTAACTTACTCTCCTCTCCTCATCCTCCTCCTTCTCTCTTTTTCTCTGGCCTTCCTCGTTTCTTCATCCTCTGGTTCAGGTTCTGGGTCATCTTCATTGATGACATCTCTGGTCCGTTTCCTCTTTGGTCTCATGCTCTCTCTTCGAGGTAGTTTGTCTTCCTCCTCCTCTTCCTCTTCACCTAAACACAGCAGTTAATGCTTCAGTGAGCAGTATCAGAAAAGTGCTCTCCCGCTACCAAATGTATTCTTACTTTTTGATTATCATTGTCACACATCTGAGACCATAATCCAGCAATTTGCCGTATCAAGATAAGATGCACCATGCCATATATATTTCATGGCCTGCCACTTAATTACATTTATCTAGGGACTCCCCTGGTGGCACAGTGGTTGAGAGTCTGCCTGTCAATGCAGGGGACACAGGTTCGAGCCCTGGTCCGGGAAGATCCCACATACTGCAGAGCAGCTAAGCCCTTGCACCACAACTACTGAGCCTGTGCTCTAGAGCCCGCGAGCCACAACTACTGAGCCCGTGTGCCACAACTACTGAAGCCCACGTGCCTAGAGCCCATGCTCTGCTACAAAGAGAAGCCACCGCGCCGAGAAGCGCGCACACCTCAACGAAAAGTAGCCCCCGCTCGCCACAACTAGAGAAAGCCCGCAACGAAGACCCAACACAGCCAATAAATAAATAAATAAATTTAAAATAAATAAATACATTTATCTAAATTCTCATTTCTTGTGGTTTATCTACTCATATGTCAGTGTTGATCCCCAAATTCTAATAATGCTTAGAATTCCAGCCTTCATTTACTCGGGTAACTAGATGAGTTGGAGTTTAATATCACACCATGATCTCTCAGACCAAGTTTATAGGTTACCAATTCAACACATAAGGGTTGAATGTTTAACCACTATGTGCTAATACTACTTCTATCTCAGAACAAAGAATAAGAATGACAAGGGAATGCTACAAACCAGAATAATTTTGAAGAAATTAATGTATGCCTTGACATTCCTCCTAATTGAAATTATTCTCATTCTTTTTCTTTTTTTTACTTTTTTAAAAAAATTGAAGTATAGTTGATTTACAGTACTGTGTAAGTTTCAGGTATACAGCAAGTGATTCAATTATACATACATATATATATTTTTCAGATTATTTCCCTTTATAGGTTTTTACAAGATATTGAATACAGTTCCCTGTGTTACACAGTAAATCCTTGTTGCTTACCTATTTTATGTAAAATTATTCTCATTCTTGACTTCAAATATTTCTTCTTTTGCCTAGATATTTCTTCCTCTTTTTTAAATGAAATTGATAGTAAATACCTTTGCTTGATCATTTTAGCTTTTTGATTAGAATAGAGATAAATAACTTGTAAATTTAATATAAAACTGAGAGAAATGACATTATTTTATTTTATTCATCAACTAACAATTAATGCCTCATATGTACATAACTTCTTCGGAAGCTTCCAGGTAAAGAGTAGAGGGAGAATTCAGTTCCTTCCTTCACCATTTATGACATACATCCTACTTCACTTTCACTTTTGTTTTTTAACTTCTGATATTTAGAGTCAACTTCTGATGTTTATTACAAAACACAAATATTACTCATAATTATCACTATCTTCTTAAATAGAAGCTACTTAGGGAAAAATTTGTGCTTTAATGGAAAACTATGAATTGTCTGCACCATACCCTTCTGTGTTACCTGATTCTGATTCTATGGAAGCTATTTTGTAACTTTGTAAGTTACGGATAACTAGATAGCAATGCAAAATAGTTCTGGTCTGTAGACAAGCAAGCGAACTCTGTTTAATGCAGAGACAACCTTCCACCACTGAAAAAGAAAATGAAAGAAAAAATCCCCAAAACAGTCATGCCTTATTTGCACAATCATTTCAATATTCCTGATCTATAAATATATCTGTTCTTTGAATTTTCCTTTAACTGGTAACTGCTATAAATGCCTCACCAGATTCCTCATTTATTAGTTAAATGTCTTGATTTTTACATATGTGTGTGTCATTATTTTATCTTTTAAAATCTTTTTGTTATTTTTTGTTATCTTTTTAACATTACTTATCAAAATTTTTTTATTGATATTTCAAATCTAAGATCTAAATATTACCATTATTACTGAAGTTTGACTAACAGAGAGTAACTTTTCTAACCGGGTTTGGAAAACTATATTTTGTCATCAAAACCAAGAATGAGTTTCCATTTGTTAAATACTGTGGCAAATGTTATATGTTATTTGAACCCCACTCTGGCATTCTGAAAATTTACCCAGCCTTTATTATTCATTTTAGTCACTAATTATAGAAAGAACAGAGCCTCATAGGAACTGAGAAACAATTTCACCCACAAATAGCTCGAAAACTCTAGCAGCCACTTACTACCCTGCATTTTAGTATATTTCATATTAAGGCTAAACTATTAAGCTTGCAGAGTTTGACCATGGATGAAAAGTGTATTATTGTATTTATATTTTAGCACTTAGGACAAAAAGGCTATATTTAGTGCTTTAACTAGTTTCCAAATATTCAAATTCTTAAAAAAGGAATGTTTTACAGTTGCCTACTAAAGGTGGATTTGCATACATTACCTTTTGGAATGGGCTTGATTCAGTTTTGAAGGGTAGCAAAATATACCACGTCGAAAAGGCATTCTGAATATACCACCCCAAAATATGCCACTTTGGTGTATTGACTATTTTGAGCTGTAGCACTTGAAAAACAGCAAATGCAGGAAGAGACTTTCTCTGAACTGCTCTTATCTGCTTAAAGACAGAGTCTCCAAAAGGAGCTCAACTGTCATAAATCCCCTCCCCAGGAGTTTCATCCCCAAGGAAGATAGACTATTATCACAGGAGAGGAGACTATAGGTCAACACCACATGCAGACACACTTTATCATAAACTATCATAATTCCCATCTATTCTCCTAAAACTTATTTATTCTCTCTCAAGAGACCTACATGCCCTCCCTCTCCCCTCTTTAGATGGTGTTCAAATCTAAATTTTAAGCCACCTCACAGTTACTCATTTTCCTGGATATCTCCCATGTATACATGAGGTGTATGTGTTAATAAACTTCTGGTTTGCTTTGGGTTTTTTTCTTCTTAAACTGTCTTATATTATAGGGGTATCAGCTAAGAACTCAGGAGGGTAGAGGAAAAATTACTTTTCCTCCCCGACAGTAGTCAAGTCATAGCATCTAGGATCTATGTGAGACTCTGGGCTGTTTTCATGTAAAATGTACCAAATTAATGAAAACAACTGTCATCATGAACATTCACTGGCTGTCATGTTGGGCTCAGGTTTCTAACTGACAGTGTTGATGTATTCTCTAATTGAACTCTTCTTGAGATGCTGCTCTTTCAGTTTTGGTAAACTCAAAACTTTTGCTCATATAATGATCTTTCTCTGTTCCAGTCCATGAGGGGTCTACATGCCTGGAAAGGGGTCACAGCTCTTGAGCTGAACCTACTCAAAGTAAAAACAACAGAGCAATTCCGACAAAATACCCTCGAATTCAGTACAAAAGAACAGGTTTTTTCATTTTTACTGAACCACCTGATCAGTTCAGTCAAAAAGGTCAATCTGTTATATTGTAATAGATTCAGCCTTAGAGAAAAGCTTTTAGGACAAAGATTTTCATGGGGGAAAATAGTAAAGAAATAAAAAAGCAAATTTTTTCTGAACTACCATCTACTTACTCATGAGTAAATTGTAAATTGGGTGGAATGTGTGCGTGCCAATTGAATGGAATCTCGAGTAGAAATTCTGTTTGATGGTCTTGAACTCTTTTGTGAGACCATGGAAAGTCATCCACACATGCTTCTCTGCTTGCATGTGGTAGCATATTCCCACAAGACAAGAGGGTGAATCCCCTGAATTCACCGCTATTCCACAGGAAACATATCCCAAGTGGGGATATGTCCATCCTCACTTACTTGAACTTTCCTCAGTATCATCTTCTTTTTCCTCCACTTGGATTTGCACTGTTGAAGAAAGAAAAAATATAGCAATTCTTTAAATGATGGTACAATTGTTAATAACTGGTTTTTACTGTTATTATTTTCATTGTAAAGTTTTTTGTGCAGTTAATAAATTTTTTCAATAAACTTGTCAAAATAAGCATTGTTTATTAAAGATATACAAGTCACAATATCTTATACAGTGCTGTGCAAGGACTTCTCTGCTTCATCGTCTTCAACGATTTGCAAAACATACCAATCATAAACCTGTCAACTCAATTCAAAATAACTTCAACCAAAATAAATTCTGTACTGCAATAAGCAGACTTAGGGTGTGTTGGGTCATTTCATTCTATGGTAAAAGGAATTGTTGGCAAAGCTATATACACATGCACAAACCACTTGGTTATTATAAATAAAGTGATTAAAATAGACAATATTTCATTATGACCAGGTACCCAGTGTCAAAGAATCTTTCAAGAATGCTTAAAACCTGATACTTCCTATTTCAATTATTTCAATAGGTATTATATGCAGACAGCTTAAATCTTCCCATATATGATTTATCTTGACTATGTGGAGACAGGTGATTCTACAGTTCTTTCCAAGACAAAGAGCACTTCTTCTGTCTACTCCTCACCTCATCCTCAGCATCTTGTTTTTAGATTTGCTCCATTTTTATAAAGGCATATAAAGGTTTTATAAAATTTTAATGGTACAGTAATATAGGGAAATATATTAATTGGCAGATTTTTTCCCCTTGTCAACTACTGTCCATTCATCACAGGTTGAGTCAGCCAGAGACAAAGATCTGCAAATTGCCATGGTAAAAATTACAGTAGACTATTTCTTTAAACCATGAGTCTAGTAACTCATTTAAAATATTAATTTACATATTTTTATTTAAGGTGGATGGGCATAAGTCCATAAAAGCAAAGATAACAAACGATGTTGCTGTGAACAGAGGAAACAACCTCTGGTTTTGTTTCTGCTCAGCACTGTCAAAGGTTATTATTCAGAACTTGACAGGCATATTGGAAAGGCAGCACATTCAGAGTTTAAATTCCATTCACAAAGAAGATTATTGTAAAAGCACATTTTGCCTTTAAACAGCATCTGCGTAAAAATTTTTAGGATATGCAAAAATTTTATCAGTCAACATCAGCCATAGAATATGAAAATAAGTGTTCTTTTGTTCAGAGTGGACATATGCCTTCTGTCACCGGTTGTAACTGGATCTGCACAGGACAAAGGTCTTTATGTCACTACCGAGAGTTCGCAATAGTGAAGGCAGACACTTCTCAGAGATATTTTACATTCAACGATAGGCCATGGTCTTTATTTGCAATTAATGCTGCCACCAAGTTTCTTCAGCCAAAGAAGAATTCACTCAGGAAGGCATCTTAATGATATAAGATTAGCCTTAGAGCAAGGTCTGATCAGCGTGCATAATATAGAAACAGCTGAGGACAAATAGCAAAGTCTGACACACAGCCTCTTTTGCACCATGCATAGCCAAAGCAAAAATTCACATAAAATGCTATAATGATTTGTAATAATCAACTCACTAGACATGATTAAATAAAGTTAAATAATGAAATGGAGGAAAATACTAAACAACTAGAAATACAAGCAAATCTTTAGGAAGGATCATATATTAAACAAAAGCAGCAGAATGAAATGTCCCAAGCCAAGGAGATGAGCAAGAAATCAATTTCCTCTGACAACCAGGGGAGAGAAAAAGCAGGGCTGGAGTCATAGGTCATCTTTTCAGGTACAGGAAGGATAGTTATAAATGGCCATTAAATAAAACCTAAAAATCCATAAGGGGAGATAGGCCTATGGCTGCAAGTAAAGAAGGAAAAAGAGCTACGGTTTCTGAGTGACGTAATGGCCAGTATTGCAGAAATAGCCCCTTCACTCCTCTTCAGGTGACTTTCCAACAGTGATACTCATCTGTGCATGATCATCTGCACATTTTCAGTAGGTGCCTTCTTTATTCAACAGCATTCCTTTTGTCTGGAAGCTGAGTCAGGGGCCATGGAACAGTTGTTTTTATAGTTACTGTGATCATAATTGGTTTATTATTGATTCAAACCCTCAGCAAAGGCATCATCGGCATCAAGAACTAAACAGCAGCACCCTGACCAGGAGACTGAAGACTCCATCAAGAGCCTCAGACCAAGCTTAATTTTAATGGAACACTATTTGGTCTGAAAAGCAACTGTCAATGCTGATCTGCATCTCCTGCAACTCAAAGAGATGCTGAAGAACCAATCTAAGAAGCCCCTCCCAGACAAAAGCCTGTGCAAAAGAATAACTCAGAACACTTAAATGGGAGTTACAGACTGTCTTTCCCTTCTCAGACAATTTTCGGCACGGCCTATTGCCATCCCTTCTCTCAGCAGTCCTTAGTCGCTTGCTCCCAATCATGACCACCCTCGTGTTCTGGATGCTTCCCAAAGCCTATTGATTATGTACTTTAAAAATAACCTCTCTCCTGGGGAGTGATGGGAGGACAGTGAAGGGGGGGAGTGGTTTCCTGTCTAAATGTTGAAGGCAGCAAGCAAAACTACATTGAAGTACGCTTATTTAAGAGAGGAATATGCAATAGGAGCAGATGAACTCCTAGGCAACCCAGATCCTCATTTCATGCAAATAGACACAGTAATTAAAAACAGTAAAAGGAAACAACAGCAAAATGTCACATTTCAGAGGCATTGGAATCGTTCAGAAAAGTGGATGTTGTTCCAGGCTTTCTTTTTCAATCTACAGTACTGAAAGTATTTTATGGTTCTTCAGTATCAGTGGCCCAGTGGCAGGAAGAGTTTAATGATATTGCCTGTTCCTCTAGTTTTTGAAGGGATTATTGTAGCACCAGGTCATTACTTTGGAAACTGAAAATTCATTTATTCAATTAGCATTTATTGTGCATTTACAAGGGTCTACAGAGCAAGGTGCTCTGGAGTAGGAGTTTGTAAACTGTAGAAGGAAATAACCGTCCTTAAGGAGTCTTGCTATTTGATGCAGAAGAATGACTTTATAACTCATACCTAAACTCAAGTTTACTTGGGTTATACCAGCTATGTACTAATTATGTTTATTAGCAATGTACTAGTGTGTTTCTTTTTAGGGTTCCTTTGTGTGTGAGGAAATGTCAACATCAGCTCCTCGCATATAAAATGGGGTACATTTCGAGGGAATATAGCCAATATTTTATAATAACTATAAATGGAGTATAACCTTTTAAAAAATGGAAAAATGAAAAATGATGTGAAAATTTATATACAATAAGGGGAAGTAAATTAACTTTGATATTTTAAAAAAGGCACTGGCATTATCAAAACTGTGCATATACACACACTTTGATGTTCTCTTGTGAAATGGTAGAAACCACTCATTAATTCAATTTGAATTGTATTACCTAAGAAAAAATCAATAAATAATAAATGAGGTACCTTTCACCTCAGAATAAACTGCCCTGAGACAGATATTAATCTATGCCATAACAAGCACATTTCCAAATCTTAGCTGAAGAACCCATGTCATCAGTATGTGGTATAATATGGAATACGAAAGGAAGAGAAGAATCAAGGACAATCCCAAGGTTTTGGGCCTGGGCAGCAGGGGGTGGAGTTTCAAGGAAAGGAGATAGGAGGCTCTAGGGAGAATAGCTTAGGTAGGAACAGTTGAAGTTCAGTAGTTTAATCTGAATAGATGGAGTCACTAAACCATACTGAGGTATCATTTCCCCTGTAGAGAATGGCACAGCACTCGGCTTCCATTCATTTATGAAAAAAATTTATTGGTGGGTGTTAAGTAAGGAACAGAAGCCACTCTCTGTGAAAGTGAACAAAAACGATGGAATGTGATTCTTCTTCCTCTCAAATATCTACCCAGGACATAAAATCTGACTAAGTTTAAATCAACAGCTCCTTTTATTTTTTGCTACTTTCAGGTCAGATAAGAAGATATTCATGACATTTGTTTATAACAATCCCAAGCCCTTCAAATGATGGAATCGAGCATGATATTTTGGAAGCCAATGAGTAAAAAGAATAATTATTTAGCTCTTATATCAATCAAATACCTAATGAACCTGTAAACTATAAGACATTTAAAAAATCCTCAGGAGTGGAAATAACAGAATGAGATCATTGCACTTAAATATAAACAAGATATCTGGGGGAAAGGTTTAATGTGACACACCTAGGCTGATACTCTTTCTGCAGGTGCCAGCCCCTTTCCTTAATACCATTAAAAACCTTAAAACCATAAGGTCTTCCTTAAGACCACTGAAAAAAACCATGGGGCGTATATGTTCAAGAACACTCTGATGGAAACTTGTATAATAAATGCCAAAAGGCTGGTCATATTTTCAAACATTATGATATCTTGGAGATACTAAATAGTTATTTTAAATCACTGTGGTTATAAAATTACAAAAAACAATAATAATTTTGGTTTTTGGTAAGACTCACCAAAGAAGACGGGGCAGGCAAAAAAAAAAAAATAGTAGCTGTCATTCTCTAATGTTTTTCCTTTTAGATAATATTTATTTTTGAGGCTCTTTAGTCCTTAAGAAGCAGAGAATAAATAGCTGCTGATGCCTGCTTTATTAAAAACACAATATAACATATTGTAGTTGCATTGAGGAATACAGGAAGAGAATGAAGTCTGTGGAGAAACACGTTTTACTACGAGGTTCCAGAGAGACTAACAAAAAGAAAAATAGAAAATTCACTCAAAATAAAGATTCCCCTTCTATCCTTTCACAATGAAAATAAATTTTTTTTATACACCTAAGAAGAGGGGAAGGGGATGCACCCCGAATAGTTTGGCAATTTTTCCTTCTGTTTTTATGTTACATGAAATTAAAATTAAACAGGCTGAATGAAATGGGTGGCTGGTATGTTTCCAAATTCTACCACCCCTGAGCCACAAGAGCAAATATGAAATGACGAAGCACAGTTCTTCAAATGGTAAATTATATACAGGAGTATTTGTGAGAAACTGCAA